ACCCCCCCCCCCCCCGAATATAAGAATAAGAGAATAAAAAAAGCCAAGAAAGAATTTTGTGAGCATAAATAATTGCCATTTAAGAAAGACAGCCATGGGTTAGCAAAAGAGGCAATAGACTAGGTAACATTTGGGATGGTTGGATCTAAAAGGAAGGCTAGTGCTACACATGAGGAATAACTCAGGACTGGAGAGAGAAGCTTATGTATTCTGTGTGTGAATGCAGAGTACAGACTAGTGTTGAGAATCATCTGCAAAATTACTCTTACCATAGCTGGTTTTCTTTGTATGCAAACTTTATATAGAAAACAATGATTTCCTATTTTCTTGCTTGTATGGGGCGGTTCCCATTCCACAATACAATGGGGTGGCTCTTCAGTACAGTTTATAGTGATATTTGTTGGAGCGGTAAGAAGTTCTGAAATAGAACCATCCATATTACAATTGATAAAGGACCAGTTTGCCTTGGTAAAAGATACAGTCAGCAGCCTGCAGCCTGGTCTGCAGTCATGTATGAGTGAATATATTTCTATACTATGTTAAACTGGAGCAATTTTTAACAGAAGTCTCTATAGTGCTTTATGTGATTCTCCAGTGCTTTATTTTATTTTATTAAATTCAGTGGTCCAGTCAGCCCAGTAAGCTTTGTGGTATTTATTTTTATATTACATTCAGATACTTCTACTCTAAGATTAAATTTCTAGTTTGCAACTGAGTGTGGTATTGACAACTTACATCTCTATCTTAGAAGTGAAGAGCTGGACATTTTTAACACAGTGACACTTGGGTCTAAATCCTAAATGGCATATATATGGCTACGTAACTGCAGCTTTTAGCACTTACACACAATTATGTACAACTCCTTGCAGTTAGATACCATCGCTCTGAACACATATCAGCTGGAGGTAAAATGGAGATGGAGGACCCATCCATGTTTTAGCCCAGAAGCCAAATGGTCAGGGTACTTGTCCAGGGAGCAGGGGGTTCTAGGCCCATCTCATCTAGAGGCGGTTTGAACCTGCACCGCCTACTTTGCAGGCCAAAGCCTTTACATATCTCAGACCTCTTCTTAAAACTGGGCTACTGCATCTTCTATTTGCCTTTTCATTAAGCAAGCAGCCCTGGGAAAGTTTGTGTCCCAGTGGAAGAAAAGACCTACGCTAGAACCTAGGATCCCTTCCCACCTACAATAGCATCCATATAATTGAGCCATATATACTTTGCTTGGTTTTCTTTTACCTGGCTCCATGTGTCTTCTTCCTTTGGTTGCCCAGAGGGCAAGCTTCAAGAAGACAGCTAGAAAGGAGCCTGAAAGCTGTCTGTATTATGGCAGTTATTGGAAAGCAAGTGATGAAGTTTCAGACTCTCCGAGAGTGAGAGGGGCTACATTCTGCTCCCTGGACAAGCACTTTAACTAGTAAGGTTTGGAGCTGCAACCTGCATCTAATCCCCTCTTGTTGTGGCTTTTCTATGACTAGATTTCTGGGACTTACCTGCTCTTTTGCACATACAGGGGTGATCCTATTTCACCACACAGATGCCCTCTCTGAGTACAGTCCTACTGAAGATATGCAGGGGCAAGTGGGCTTGTGTGCCTAGAGCTGAATCAGAAGCTATGCATAAGTGATAAAAGCTGCAGTTAGGTGCCTATGTACATACCATTTATGCTCATAAAATGAAATAGGATTTAGTCCCTGGGCTTTGGGGCAGTCAGGGAAGTATGGCATAAACCGATAGCACAGCATCATCCAGCCTCACTATCTACTGTGCAATTTAATTGTATTCTAGTTACCTGCACAGTAACTGTATCTTCCTACATTATAACTACCATATTTTCTTGCATACCACACATTTCCAAATAAGACACACCTTGTTTTGGGAAGGCAGAACAAAAGAAAACAAAAATCACTTGTCCTGCGTCATGCCTGTGTGAGGCTGCATGCATGGAGCAGGGACAGTGTCTTCTTGCAAACTCTGCAGCTCAAGCTTTAACCATGTGATGACCATTACCAAATTGGCAAAAGCTTTTGGATGAGCAGCCACAATATGTTTTAAATAGCTAGAAGTTATTTAAATAGAATTTGACCTTCCTTCATGGAGTCATTACAGCATCCTCATTCTTCCATTCTGGCATGGAAATCAGCTTCCTCAATTAAAATGTGCACCCCAGTTTTGGAGGGCTAATTTTTGGAGAAAAGGTATGTGTGGTATGTAGGTAAATTAAAAACCTTGAAAGTGATAGAAAGCTAGTCCCTTTGGGGGTGTTAATACCACAGTACTGACAGCACTATGAATAATGCTTCATATGCATTATGTGAATAATGCTTTGTATTAACAGCCCCCAAACTGAGTAGCCCCTCTGATTTTCACAGGTTGTGATAATTTGAAAGCTGAGCCTTGAAAATGAGGGTGGTTCCAGGACTGCTAATGCCAAGGCACAGACAACAGTGGGTACTTTCTAAGCAGGGATCCTGGTTTTCTCTGCTAAAAAAAAAAATCACCAATTTTCGGGTTAAAAAAGGTAACCCAAAATCCACATTTTTCCATAATCAAAAGGAAATGCTAGTAATAAATAAATATATATACAGTGGTGTTTCCTTTTGATTATAAAAAAATGTGGATTTTGGGTTACTTTAAAAAAAATCCCCAATTTTCAGGTTATCAGCAAAAACTAGGATCCCTGCTTATAAGCATTATTTACATTAAATCTGGGTAAGTGTATATTCTGGGTAAGACATTTTTCAGTCCTGAGATTATGTACTTGGATGAAGGGCACTGTAGTTTAGCATAGTGATGCCACTGAGTTTCAGAAGTACAATGTGTATTTCCAAACAAATTAAAAAGCTCTTGCCTTTCCTAGCTATTTTTTTATTTAGGCAAACATTGCTGGATTAATTTGTACTTGGTTACAATTTGGAATTATATCTTTATAGTTATAAAGACTAGAAAACACAGCTCTCTATAAATGAAAGCTGAAGAAGAATGCTGTAGAAGGCAGGGTCAAATTACACCTTAAAAATTAATCAGGTAGATATATATGTAGCACAAGCTTTCATGGGCTGAAGCTCCTTTCATTAGATGCTATAAAAGGATGTGCAGAAAGCAGTGTATAATTCTAAAACAAAGGGCAGGCTCTCCTCTATCTGCTGGGTGTCAGAGTGGAAAGAAACTTCCTGCTTACCAATTTTATAGAGCTTGATGTACTCATCATAAAACTGAATCTTTGATTCTTTGCTGGATCCATTCACCAGGAAGTAAACCGCATCAGTGTCTTCTATCATCACATCTTGAAACCTACATCCAGTATGTCTTCCATGTGCATCTTTTATGTAATGTTGGCATTCCATCTCACCTTTCCTGCAAATACCAAATTGTTTCAGTTAAAGCACTAAGGGCAAGAATCTACTTTTCCTATGGCACATCCATGTAGCACTTAGACCTTTATTCTGTTTCCCAGATTTGCAAGCTTCACTCATACCTCTGGGAGGCAGAACAGGCCTTAGACATCCATACTTTACTTAAGATTCCAATCTGTGTGACTAGCTTTGCCCAATATGGCTAGGTATCCATCTAGAGAAAGGGCATACTTTCTTTGTAATTCTTCAAAACTTTGATTGGTGTAAAGGTACAACTTGAGACTGACAAAAGAAAAGGAAGAGAGCACACCCACCATTTACCCAAAAGCCTCGTGGTTGGGACATATGGCCCTGGAAACAGGAGTCTAACATTATTTTATCCAGTGGCTCTCTACTGCAAATTTAATGCAGCATTAGGAACAGGAGCCAGAATCCATGGATTTCTCCTTTCCAGGCTAGTGCTCTCCTCAATAGCCAAAGTATCAAGATCCCTCTTCTCATTCTCCTTGGGTGCACCTACATGCAATTAATGTGCCTGAATTTTCTGGGCAGAGTTCCAGGCTCCCCCAGGTGCCAGCTCCGGGCTGGCAGGGGACATGGGGGCTGGTCCTGATCTCCATGGGATGGGAGAGTTGTGCCAGCAACCATAACAGCTCTCTCTGCCCCATGGAGATTGAATGGGTCCTGATATCCATGGGACTGGCAGGCAGTGTCCCACTGAGCTGGGACAGCTCTCCCTATCTCCTGTGGCCCCCTGCTACCTAGTCTAAGTGGGAGCAATTTTCACTCGGTCAGTGTTTACATGTGTGGTTTGGCACATTAGTTTAATGCACCAATTTCCAGTACTTGTATCTACAGGTACTTAGAAAATGGCAGATGAGACTAATCTGCTATGCAGTAATTGCTGTGTACATGTAGACAGTGACACTGTACTGTGCATTATATTAATGTAATGTTCAGCAAAGCATCTTGTGTTGCTGTACCCCTTGTGCCCTACATCTTTTCACATGTTGGTTTTCTAGTGGGCCAGCTTCAGTAGGAGAGGTGGAGGTTCAGTTGGCCCTGCCTTTTGTTTGGGACATTTTGTTAAAAGTGAGAGATGTAGATTTAAACAAACAAAAAAAAAAAGATAAGAGAGGACTAGAAGTATGGGCTCATGCTTCCCGGGCAAGGGTCCTAACCACTAGCCTTTTAGGCAAACAGTTTGTAGCTTTCCCTCTTTCTCTATCAAAATAGTTTCTAGTCATGTTTCAGAGACTTGCACTGAATCCTTTAACTATCCCAGGTAGATTTGGGTTAGATGGCACTCTGCTCATGTTGGATTGCTTCTGAACATGTGTAAATGGCCAGGCCTAACTATGCACAGTGGAACCTGAGATAAATCTACATAAATGGCATTGAGCATCACTTATACCTCTGGGAAGCAGCATTTGCCCAGGATAGAATTTGACATCCAAGTGCATCTTTACAGGCACAATGGGCAAAGTACTTTTTGCCCTGAAAACATCATCTATCATATCTGAATGCAAAATTTTCTTGAGCCAATGAAAAACATTTACTTTGAGAACTGGTAAAGAAAATATTGAGTATCTTCTGGAGCATTTCTGCCAGGAGTCCAAGTGCAATTCATGAAGGAAACATTATAAATCATACAGGTAAAATTTTCCACCGATGTTCCACTCAAACCTAAGAGCACAGGAGAATTTTATGTCTAGTTATGCATTACTGGTTAGATTAACCAAGAAAACTAGAAAACTAATTAGCTGAGCAAAATAATAGTCAAAATAAGCAGATCTCTGTTTATGTTAGTTTGACCCTGAGAGGTTTTGAACATTAGCATTTTCAAGTGTTTAGTTCAGGCCCCCGATTCTAGATACTGCATTTTTTAGAATTGCATTATATATACTTATTACCCGCAGATGAAGTTATAACAGTTGAAATATGGCTCATATTAATCATAAGTTGCTTCAGTGAAGATCCCAGTTGTAGTCCTGAAGAGTCCTAAAACTCCTGAAGAGTTTTATTTTGAAACTAGTGAATTGCCTGTCAACAATGATCAGGAGTGGGGGAGAATGGAGCGCCACTACCCACCACATTGTACTGCTTCCCAGGAGTGGTGGGGTGGTGGGGAGGCTTGCACATGGCAGCCACCACCAGCCACTGCCCTGCTCTGCTGCCGCTCTGTGTCTGGCCCCCATGTCTGGAGTGCCGCCATGATGGTGGGGATGGAGTGGGGGGGCAAGGCCAGCACCGCTAGCCTTAACTTTATCCATGGCTCTGCTTCTTGGAGGCAGCAATGGTGTGGGGTGGTGGCACTACGGCACTGGCCTTGCCCCTGCCTCTGTGCTTCTATCCCCACCACCATCTAACAAATTGCCTGTCAAGAATTATGGTGGGGATGGAGCACAACCAAGATGGCAGGGACAGAGGGGTTGGAGCAGGGGTGGTGAGGCCAATGCCATGCCACCACCACCCTGTGCTGCTGCTGCCTCCAAGGAGTTGGGGGAGCACTCAGTCCCCTCCATCTCTGGTCCACCCCACTCCATTCCTGCTCTATCCCCAACATCCCTGCAGTTATGCTGGCGTTCTGCCATTCCACTCCATCCCTACCGTTCCCTTCAGCCCCCTCTGCCAGCACCACATGCTGCTGCCACCTCCAAGGAGCAGGGCTGGGGGCAGGGGAGAGTGAGGATAGTACTGCTGGCCTCCCCACAAGCCCTGCTCCTTGGAGGCGGTGGCGGTACAGGGTCTGTGCAGGGTCTGTCTGTCTGTGCAGAGCACTCTGATTTGTTGCTTCAGTAAGCATTGTGATGGGCTGCTGAGACTACCAGAGTGCTCCAAGAGCATTACAGACAGACAGAGAGACACACAGACAGGTGGACTAAGCCCTTTATATATGTAGAATGCACCATTTTAACCAGAAGTTGTTCTAAGCCACCTTACTGATGAACAAAGCAACACTTAATTTTTAGGCACCTGAACCCTTAAGTAGACTCCAAATCCCTGATGAATCCATGGAGAGACTAGAACTCTAGAATGGGTCCATCAAAACCAGAACAGTGAGGGAAGAACCACCTGAAGAATAAGGATTTTTCTGCAGTTCCTCACATCTTGCAGCACTTGGTCACCTCCCTGTATTCTGGATTCACAGCTAGCAATACTCTTTGGAAGGTAGATGCCCACATAGCTTTTCCTTCAAGCGCTCAGTAAGAGGAACATTTTTCTCATCTGATAGAAAGTGAGAATTTGTGCCTTCCTTTCACCCAACAACTCAGGGGGTAGAACATTGAACCTGGGTCAACCCCATTAAGGGTGACCATTTTTTCTCCTCTGCCTAAGGGGATTCAAACCCACAATTCCTTACTGCTAGGGTGCATACAGATGGTAAGGAGAGGTTAGATTGGGGTGGGCAAAATGCGGCCCGTGGGCCAAATGCGACCCGCCAGGTCATTCTATCTGGCCCATGGGGCCCCTAAAAAATTTAGAAAATTAATATTTATCTGCCCCTAGCTGCCTGTGATGTGGCCCTCGATGACTTGCCAAAACTCAGTAAGCAGCCCTCAGCCTGAAATCATTGCCCGCTCCCAGGTTAGATCATGTTAAAAATGGCCACCCAATCCAATTTAGTTCAGCAGGGTACAGACCTACAACTTAGATGCCTCATTGAGTCAATCTAAGTACTAACTGTAGAGATTCAGGACAGTTAGGTCAGTCTCAAAATGGCCAACCTGATCTAAGTTAACCCTACCTCCAAGGTACACTCAACTTGGATCAGGCCATCTATTTTTAGACTAATCTAACTGTCCTGATCTCTTGTACAGTTCCCAGCACAGACCCAGAGCTAAGAAAGCCCAGCTGCTGGCCCCAGCCCTGTGGCTGCACTTTTCCTTCTCCTACCCTGCCCCCCCCGTGCTGAGCTACTTTTAGCCCCCTGGCCTCTCTCTGCACTCCCAGATGGAAATCCACCCCATGCAGACCATCCAGGCCTCCTCTTGAGCCCAACCCCCAATCCTACAAGCTGTACTGTGCTCCTAGTGCCCATTTTACTGGCATTTGCCAGTGCTAGGAGCCAAGGAAATAAGCCAGGATGAGGGGGAGGGCCAGAAGGGATGGGAAGCTGGTGAGGAGGGTTGGTTCACTAGAGTGGTTGTTCATCTTGGAGTGTGGGAAATTAGGGAAACAAAAATAGCCCCCGGTCCCAGGGGTAGGGAAGGCTTCCCCTCCTCCCCCATCTCCTCAAGCTCCTGAAGAGTCTCCAAG